CGACTCGGACACGCATGTCTTCAGATGTCCAGGAAAACGAGGAGATCCTGGAGAACCTGGATATATATGACATGTTCGTTAAATACTCTGGCCTTCATGTTTTCCGAGCAGTGGAGCCGGCCCTGCATCAGAAATACAGCTACCAGCCGTGTAATCCTCGTCTTAGTGAAGATATCTACCAGAGGTGTGTGCAGAGCACCCTGGACAGCCTCGGATCACGCTCTCAGCTCGCCATGCTGCTGTTTGAACAGGAACAGGGCAACAGTACTTAAAACCAAATCCAGAAGATCTTGAGATGATTGAGAGGTGATAAACTTTTTTTTTTGTTGTCCATTGGGCTGGTGCTTTACTAGTAGCCGGTCTGTGGAATCACAGTGCTGGCAATCAAAAATGCTTTCGGTACCAAAAGAAAGACTAAAAACATTTGAAATCTATTTAAAATAGCAGATTTTTGTGACAACGGGATTTATGATTTGCTATCTTTCTCTTTGGAGCAGATTGGTTTGTGTTGGCTCTTAAAGCTAACAGCTGTTAGCTGTTGAAATGATCACTACCATAACATATCTAAATCGCCGTGCCTTCAAAAATATGCTGTCCTTTCATAACACTTTTGTCTTGTCATCACAGACATGCTCAAGCAGATTTGTTTATAAGAGTTAATGTTTGTTTAATGTAACAGGGTTTTTGTTGTATGAAGGAACCGTATCCAGATTCTAACAGTGGGTTTATTATTGTTGAAATGCTTCAGTCAGTTCACACTCAAAATTTATTAACCCTCTAATTCTAGCTTGTTAAATCTAAGAGATTTTAACAAGGTAAAAATCATTGTCTTATTGACCATTAGTGCCAAAAAACAAATGTTGAGACCGTTTATTGAGAGTTTCAAACACTATTTTGTCCAAAGCGTTTAAACCGGCGTGGTTCCATACTGAATGTAATTTATGCTTGAATTCTGAAGAGCAGAACACAGATGCAAATACCTGCATATAAATATTTTTACCATTGAAACCGCCTCAAAGAGATTTTTTCTGATGAAACAAGTTAACTTTTGCACTAATACTTTCATTGCAAGTCTGTCTTGTATATCAGTAATGCTGCACAATACGCCTATCAAAGCATTTCATTCTGTTCTAGAAAGATTATAGGGTGCATTACATGGTTATAGTTAGTTCCTGTGCTTTCTACCAGAGAGGAGTGCGATACTAGTGCAATACTGTTCAGATGATGTAGTGTATTGAGTCTGCTTAGAGCCTGCTGATGGAAACACTCCAGATGAGTTAAGCGCATCTATTGAACACATTTCTGAAGATGCACTACAGAGAGCCTCTATTACGTACCATTCCAAACACTTCCCAAAACATAATGTGTTTTCATGACATTATATTGGGTTAAATAAGATAATTCAGATTTGTTTGTTTGTTTTGCAAAGTGAGTGTATAAAGCCTGTATCTATTTTTGTGGGTCTCTTTTTTTTGTTTGTTTTGGTCCCTATTTCTTGGTACATGTGTTTACTGTATTTACTTGGTGGTGTGTTGAAAATTGTTTTGCTATTTTTTTTTTTAATTTAAACAATCATAATCTTAATGCAGTACACTGACAATATCTTACAAAAGTGACTTGTGTTACACAATATCATGATGCTGGATGTCAAATGATTTTGCGTACAAGAGCTGTGAAATAGGTTTTACAAGGTGATATGTTTTGTACGTTTTTAAATGACACATGCACAACATGAATGAAAGCATCACAAAAAGAGCACAGATTAAAGCCGCTACTGGCCTTTAGGGGTCAGCAAAGGAGCATGGGATTACCTGCTATCGGATATGTATGCTTTCACAGGACTGTTTCTTAACCTCACCTTTGTTGATTTTTTTCACTATAAATATTCTTTATAAATCTGTTGTATTTTGTTTTAATATTATTGTACAAAATGTTTAATAAAGACTTTATTTTAGGGCTCAGATAAACATGAGTGCTTGTCTCTTTTCTTCATTACTTTCATCGGGCCACTTCTTGATACTGTATTGCATTTGATATTTATTGTCAGGTCAGATTTTCTCACTAAAGCAGCCCATAAGACAGTTAAGTGCATATATTTTTCTGTGACCGTTACTGCAGCATAAATCAAAGGTTACAAATCAAGACCAATAGGTTCCAGATTTCAACATCAGTCTTAATGAGATGCTGTAAATTTTCACCTCTATTTATATGTCCTCTCTTTTAGAGCCCTGAACCACACACACACACACACTGCCTTTGGGCACAGAGTGAACCCATATAAGCACCAGGCAGCTGAAGTCAGCAGTATCTAATTATATACCACTCATTTTTACATCACTGGAGTTTTATTCCAGCCTAACTTTTCCCCAGCAGCTTACTTCTGTAACAATTTATGTCCAACAATCACTTGCATTTTTGTCACTCCAGACATTGTGATACATCATTATCAGTGGGATGCTGGTCTTGAGCACAACATTAGACTAAAACGAACGGGACACATCAGCAGTAAAAGATTTGATATCTAACAGAATTTCTGTAGGTGACAGACTCTTAAAGATTCAGCAACACACTCATTTACTAACAAATATATATATAAACCCAACATGTTTAACATCTTAAAGCAACAGCTCACCCCAAAATGAAATAATTTACGGTAACACTTTAGTATAGGGACCAATGACTTACTATTGAAGTCAATGGACACCAAAACTGTTTGGTTACCAACATTCTACAAAATATATTTTTGTGTTTTACAGAGGAAATTAAGTCATATAGGTTTAGAACAAAATGAGGGTGAGTAAATGATGACAGAATTTAATTTGTTGTTGAACTATCCCTTCAACACGAACTTAAAACGGCTTCATTTTGGACTTTGTAGTTGAAATCTAAATGATATAACCTCCATTGTGAGAACTTTTGATCAATATGTCAATACATTTTGTATTATGCTCTATCTATTAGATTCAACATTTGTTTTTTAACTTAATTTTAAGTCAACATAATTTTATATGGTAACTGACAGCACGCCATGGATGCTGTCAAGAGTTTAACTAGTATCGAACTCAGAACATTATTTTAAGATGTCCAGCATTCTCAGCGGAATCATAAACCATAAAAAAGCACACGGTGTGGAGTGCTTATATCTCAGTGACCAGAACCAAAGTGATTAATTTATCAAGATTTTATTTTTGGACTCCAGTACGTACCATTGTTACATTTATAAAATGTGCTCTAACAGAAACCACGGTCATAACAGCAGACCTTTGTACAAACTATATTATGTGTTCTCTGTAGTCTGGTATACAGTCCATTAGGTTCTGGAGTGTAATGGGTAATTAGCCTGATTAGACTTGATGCCTTTAATCGTGTGGAAATCTCAACAGTCTGTTTGCGCTATATGCTGCTTCAGTGCCTCGTTTTATGGCCCCCTCTCGGAGCTAAATGGTGGTCTGGCTGGCAAAAGCGGGTGGAAAAGAACAGCATGTCAAAGTTAAAGCAGCGTAGCACAGTTTTGAAAATACACACATAGAGCTCAACACTGCATCATTTGGACCAGAATGGAACTGACGTCTGAAGATGAAATAATATCAGATGAAGGAACATTACAGTTTTCTGGATCGATTTTTCTTTCTTTTTTTCTCCAAACTAAGCTCAGTATTTAAAACAACTAACGCAGCCATCCAAACACCAGGCAAGGGTTGTACAAACTTCACAACTGAAGAATCGGCTTGAATTGGAATTTAAAATAATTCAACACTGGTAAAGCATTCCAAGTTATGGATCCAAGAAAAGAAAGGCTTAAATATTAAATCCATTTAAATCCAGTTACTTTGTCATAGAACTTGTAGTCGAAAACTCTTTCCGTCCCCACATGAATTACTCTACAACTGAAATTTAAAATGGAGAATTTGCTGGAAGAAACACTAAAACAAAATGTGGGTGATTTTTAATCCACTCACACACCAGCGCTACATGGTGGAATTGGACATTGTCACAAACCACAAGTTGCTCCAGTTGTTCCTGCTGTGCCTTCAATATCGCTCTCTCTTTTCCCTTTCCTCTTCCTACATTCTCTTCTATTTCTCTCTCATAATCTTCCACCTGAAGTATTTCAAGAAAATGATGTAATTTGTAAGAAATCATGAATAAATACAATCTATTTAGGAAAAGTTAGCTGTGTTAATTGCTTGACAATGGTGCAACACTGACCTCAGTTTGGAGAAAAGTTTAATTAGCGTGGAAGCATCTACATCCTCCTTCTGATGCAGATCTGCCTTTTGGATTGCACAAAATCACTGCCATTTGCTATATAGAAAATACTTTCCAAACTAATGGCAAGGACTTTGGAAGATAGTCCTTTTTGAAAAGACATGTGAGTCATGCACACGCAATTGCATTTCAACATTTGGAGCAATTCCTTCTGCACAGGTAAGATACGCCACGAATGCAGAAATATACAACTGCATGAGTGCATGAGGTTGACAGATTTGATGCTAAATCAAATCTGAGTGATTTGTTCCAGTGCAATTCCTGGACATGCACTGGTATGTCAGCTCTTCTGCTTTCACTGTTGACAGCACAGTTATTTATGACAGTAAACTGTATTATTATGCTCAGTGTGCCATCAAAACTCTGACTGGGATCCTTTAAAATGCCACTGTGATACAGTTTTATGAATATTAAAAGCCCATATTAGCCATGATTACTTTTATATGGATGGAATATATGCGGCATGTTTTTGATATGACATCCAAATATGAGATGCATTCCAGAAGATATACAAATGCTAAATCTTTCTTGTAGACAGAATCTACCCAACAGAGGAACTAATCTATAGAGGATACACAGCTTATAAAAGAATTCTGTAGTTTGTGAATGTAGGTAAACAAAATAAAATAAGTCCAGAAAACGAGTACTAAATGTGCAGGAGAAAATTTGAATATATATATATATATATATATATAT